TTCAGCCTGGGGGTCCCCAGGTCGGTGACGGTGATGGTGATGTTGTACTCGACCTGGCTCTCTCTATCCAGCGCTCCTTCAGTTACCAAGGTGTAGAAGTTTTCGACTGATGGTCTTAGAAGAAAGGGCAGATTGTCATCTATAGAACAAATAACCTGTTGATTTTGTCCGGAATCTGCATCTGACACACTGAAAACTGCTACTATGATATCTGGCAGGTTTTCGGGAATGGGACTAATGAGTGAGGACATGGTCAATTGAGGAGGGTTGTCATTTACGTCCAGAACCTTGATGACTAAAGAACATTTTCCTGATAGTCCCCCGCCATCTGTAGCCTCAATATCCAAATGATAAGATTGAAATTCCTCAAAATCCAAAGTCTTTCTCAGTCGAATTTCTCCTGTAATTGCGTTTATTTCGAAGGGTTGATTAATGTCATCTACCTGAAATAGGGCATAAGATACCTCCCCAAAGGACCCTGCATCTAAATCTCTTGCTGAGACGGTGATAATCAGAGAGCCCAGGGAATTGTTTTCAGGGATTTGTGCCTCATAGAGCTCCTGAGCAAACTCTGGAGCGTTGTCATTGATGTCCAAGACCAGGATCTGAATCTCCGTGGTCCCAGACCGGGGCGGAGACCCACCATCCAGCGCTGTGAGGGTAAGCCTAAACTCAGGCTGCTCCTCGCGGTCCAGTGCTTTGTCTAGCACCAGCTCCGGGAACTTCCTGCCATCGCTGCGATTGCGAGTGAGAACGTGGAAATGAGGATTGGAGCTGATTATGTAGCTCTGAAGACTGTTGCTACCCACGTCTAAATCCTGTGCCATTTTCAAAGGAAATAGCTTTCCTGGTGTAGTAATTTCTGATATTTTTAGTAGCATTTCTCTGGTGGGGAACTCTGGGGCGTGGTCGTTTATATCTGTGATTCGTAAAGCAGCCTGAAAAAACTGCAAGGGATTTTCCATTAACACTTGGAAAGGTAGCACACATGGCTCAGTGGAGCCGCACAGCTCTTCCCGGTCCAGTTTCTCATTTAGCTGTAAATCATAGGTCTTTGGGTCAAGCTGCAAATACTGTCTGTTCCCCTTGAAAACAACCTGGGCACCCCGTGCAGCCAGTTCTCCTCTCCTGAGTCCCAGGTCCTTTGTCAAACTGGCCACAAATGTGCCAGTTTCTGACTCTTCCAATACATAATATTGAATCGATTCTGAACTGGCTTCCCACAAAAGCATCCATATAATAAAAATTGCCACTTGCCTTTTCTTGCAATGTGCTTTTGTTTGCACCATCCCCATTATGTCTGATCCCAGAGAAGAAAATCCTTTTCCAGTCCCCATCAGCACGTCCACCATCGACCCTCGGAAATGTCTTTGCTGTTGAATTTCGAATTTGTCTTATAACTTGTCTGGTGACGAGTACCTTCCTGAATACTTCTATCTTAGCTTTAGCTGTAAATGTGTTCTCTATTGGGGGGTGGGGGGCTTCTGAGTAAAATGGAGTCCACCGAATCTGCAGAGCTCTTATTCACTCTCTTAGCCTGCACTGCCACCACGCGTTCAAATTAGTAACTTCAGGAGGTGCATACAGGCAATACCAGTTTCGAAATCTTAGCCTTATAAAGACTTTCAGGTGGAGTCGGTGTTTCTCAAATTGTAGTATGTGAACTATATGCATAAATAATTACTTGGGAGTCATGAATTGTTTTTTTTTTTTTCAAGGTTGATTCCTGGGTTTCCCTCCAGACCTTGAATGAAATTCTATGGTAGAGCTAAGGGCTGAAAATCTGCACTTCAATCTAAGTGATTCTCATGCATATGAATGTTTAAGAATCATGCCCTCAGGTAGTGTAAACTTGCTATAATCAACTTTTATTCTTTGGCAGTGAAATTTATCTCTGTTGAGTAGTGTGATTTGGGAATCCAAGAAGTACCCTGTTTAATCGTCCCAGCAAGTCAATAAACTATACAAAATGTAAAATTTGGTTAGCAGCACCAATTATAAACAATTACTTCTGTAAGTTATATGGCTCATAAAATGGCATCAACAACAGACTTAATTTATTTTGTGGTTACACCTGCACAGTAAGGGAACAATTAGGCTCTTAGGAAGAAATTTGAAGACAACAAATACTTATAAGTATCTTATCAGTTAAGTTATTTAAAAGAGGAAGTAGTGGGGCACCTGGGTGATGCAGTCAGCTAAGCCTGGTTTAGGCTTAGCTGACTCAGTTTCGGCTCCTGTTATGATCTTGAGGTTGTGAGACAGAACCCCAAGATGGCTCTGAGCTCCCTGTGAGTCTGCTTAAGACTCTTTCCCTCTTCCACTGTCCCTCACTGCTGCACTCTCTCTCAAATAAATATGTCTTTTTAAAAAGAATTTTGACAGACAAAGATCACAAGTAGGCAGAGAGGCAGGCAGAAGGGGCAGGGGATGCAGGCTCCCTGCCGAGCAGGGAGCCCAATGAGGGGCTTGATCCCAGGACCCTGAGATCACCACCCGAGACGAAGGCAGAGGCTTTAACCCACTGACCCACCCAGGTGCCCCATCAAATAAATAAATCTTTAAAAGAGGAACTAGCAACAATCCATCTGTCATAAGTAGGCATTTTAGGATTTTACTTCATTTAGTATGGATAGAATTGGTCATGATTTTATTAGGTTTGTTCATTTTATTATAACTTTTAAATCAAATTTCCCTCCTATATTAATCAAGTCCTAAATACATTATTATGTTGTAAAGACATAATGAAACGCAGAGAACATTCAAGAATCACCTCTACCATCCTCTCACAACAAGGTTGACACTAGTTGCTCTAAACAAACACCAAATAGGGTAGTGAATTACATTTGACGGAATTCCACAGAATTCAATGATGGTTCATCATGGCTATACTCATTTCTATCACCATTTCTGCTCAGATAAATGGGAAAATATGTCTTTAAATATCAGAATACATGAAATGGGTCAGTGCACAGATAAGAACACAAAATATGCCAAACATAATCTCACTTCAGATTTATTTCATATTTCTTGAAAGGTGAAATCAATTGAGTTCAACAAAGTTCACTTCAGGTAAGAGCCAAAATGGTGGAAGATTAAAAATGATGATTTTTTAAAAAGACTTTGTTTATTTGAGAAAGAGAGCAGGAATAGGGGTAGAGGGAGAAGCAGGTTCCCTGCTCAGCTTGATCCCAAGACCCTGAGATCATGACCCCAGTTGAAGGCAGATGCTTAACCGAATGAGCCACCTAGGCTCCCCTAAAAATGAAGATATTTTTCAAGATGTTTCAACTCTAGGTAAAACAAGTAAAGCTAAATAAAGTCTAAACTCTGAACAGATGAAATAATTTTTCAGTTAAAAAACATCTCTATTGGGGCACCTGGGTGGCTCAGTGGGTTAAGCCTCTGCCTTCGGCTCAGGTCATGATCTCAGGGTCCTGGGATTGAGTCCCGCATCGGGCTCTCTGCTCGGTGGAGAACCTGCTTCCTCCTCTGTCTCTCTCTCTGCCTGCCTCTCTGCCTACTTGTGATCTCTCTCTCTGTGAAATAAATAAATAAAATCTTAAAAAAAAAACCACATCTCTATCTACCCAGAAGGATAAAAATAAGATCACTGTGACCAGCCTCCATGGTTCACTTGATAAATGTTACTGAGAATAGACTTCCTTAAGAGTACAACAAAATAAACTGATGAAGTAAAACCAGCAATCGTAAACATATTAGATGGGTTTAGTTTCTTCTCTGAAACAAAGTTATTTCCAACTCAATCCTAAATGCTTCCTTCCTTCCGTGGGCATTCCGATTCCAGCTTGATGGCATCCCTGGCTTCTGTGTAGTCCATTGTGCATTCTCTTTGCCTGCAGGGCCACCAGGCATCTTCACATATAGCTTACTGAATTATTTTTCATTTTAAAGCAAATTTTACTAGCAGTACTGTATCGGTGAAACTCAATTTAGATCATTGAAATTTCTTTGAGAACGTTGCTTGTTATGAGAGAAAAAAAATGATATCTTAATGTATCATCCAAGTATTATTGGTTGGTATGTGAAGACACTGCCTTTGTATGGAAATGGATTACTTTAGATTCTTTCAGGAGAATGCTTCTCTGTTTTATTCTCTTTTGCTTTCCTTTGCTAGAATAGAGCTGAATTGACATTAATAAACTTGTCTCACAAGTAATAACTCACTAACATTTGTGGGAAAAGTTCAACACATTCAAAGCAAACAGTGTAACTTCCATGTACACATTACCCAGCTTCATATCTTGTCTTGTTTCATCTATACCTTCCCCTCCACTCTCCACTTCCCACTCAATGTTTGTTTTTGTGTAGGTCTTTTCTTAAGGTTATGTTCACACAAATTGAAATGCTCCAATCTTAATTGTACAAATGGATCCATCCATGTAACCCACACCTATTTCAAGATATAGAATATTTCCATCATTCACTGGGAATCTTTAATCATATTTTCCAACTTAATTTTAATAATTAGGTGGCAAAATCTTGGTCTCCTCTGGACACAACATGGAAAGGTAAACAATGTAAAAAAACCCCACCATGCCTTATGCTCATTATGCTCATGTATGCTTATGTGAAGTGACAGCTCATTAAGATTAATTTAACTGATTATTACCAGTGAGCTGAAATAATACTTTGGTGAAACATTGTAAAGTATATTAACCTCAATTTTATTTAGTTACCTTACAATTATTGCATAGCTGATCAAGCTAGTTTCCATTTTTATGCTACAAATGTTTGTTTTCTTTACATTCCATTATAAATTTTTAAAATTCTTGAAGTTCTGAATGTGAGAATCCATCAAAATCCTAGAGGAGAATACAGGAGGACCTCTTTGACCTCAGCTGCAACAATTTATTGTAAGACATGTCTCCAAAGGTAAGGGAAACAAAAGCAAACTATTGGAACTTCTTCAAGATAAAAAACTTCTGCATAGGAAAGGAAATAGTTGACAAAACCAAAAGACAGCCTACACAATGGGAGAAGAAATTTGCAAAGTCTTATCAGACAAAGGGTTAGTATCCAACATCTATAAGGAACTTATCAAACTCAACACCCAAAAAATAAATAATGGAGTCAAGAAATGGGCAGAAGACATGAACAGACATTTCTCCAAAGAAAACATACAAATGGCCACTAGACACATGAAAAAATGTTCAGCATCCCTCAGCATCAGGGAAATACAGATCAAAACCACAATGAGATACCACATCACACCAGTCAGAATGGCTAAAATTAACAAGTCAGGAAATAACAAATGTTAGCAAGGATGTGAAGAAGGGGGACCCTTCTTACACTGTTGGTGGGAATGCAAGCTGGTGCAGCCACTCTGGAGAACAGTATGAAGGTTCCTCAAAAAGTTGAAAATAGAGCTACCCTATGACACAGCAATTGCACTACTAGGTATTTACCCTAAAGATACAAACACAGCATCCAAAGGGGCACCTGCACCCCAATGTTTATAGCATCAGTGTCCACAACAGCCAAACTATGGAACTATGGAAAGAGCCCAGCTGTCCATCGACAGATGAATGGATAAAGAAGGTGTAGAATATATATACAATGGAATATTACTCAGCCATCAAAAAATGAAATCTTACCATTTACAATGATGCGAATGGAACTAGAGGGCATTATGCTAAGTGAAATCAGTCAAATTAGAGAAAGAAACTTTCATATAACTTCACTCATATGTGGAATCTAAGAAATAAAACAGAGGATCAATCATAAGGAAGGGAGGGAAAAATAAGATGACAAAATCAGAGAGGGACACAAACCATACGAAACTTTTAACTATAGGAAACAAACTGAGGGTTGCAGATAGGGAGGGGGGTGGGGGGATGGGGTAACTAGGTGATGGACATTAAGGAGGGCACATGATATAATGAGCACTGGGTGTTATATGCAACTGATAAATAAC